CCCCTCAGTTATCTTTAAATTCTCCCCTTCTCTGTCATGTCTCTCAGCTGGAATACAATCTGGAGAGGTTCTTGAACATAAAATGTGCCCTTAATCTCTACCTTACGTTTGTGCCAAAGTCAAGGTCTAGTTTGGTTCCAGTGCCTCCCATGGCCACCCCTAGTTGGGTGTCCCCGCTAGACCAGCTGTGAGGTCTCCTGGCTGAAAACCGGCTCTCCTGTCAGCCTTTGGTGCTCCAGGCGGAGCTCCGCCTGCGCTCCCGCTCCGGCGCGGCCCCTGCATACATTAGCCCTAATGTAGTCGCTCTCGAATACCCATCATATTAAGTCTCCCGCTAGGTACCTTGCTCGAAATAAATTTTACGGCCATACATCCTCGCCCTCATCACATGCATTGGTAGGTTGGAGGAGAAATACAGTCGTATCCTTCCTTAGAGAACAGACCAAACAATCGGGTAGGATTAGCCTGTGGCCTGGGAAGCCAAGAGAGAGCCGGCTCAGAATCCAGCGCTCAGAATCCAGCCGCTAGCTTGCTCAGTTCCACAAAGAAGTCCTCGGTGAGGCGGTGAGGCGTCATGACCTAGGCTTCCTCTGCTGAGTAGGACGCATGCCCAGCGGTGGCAAGTGGCTGGTGCAGCGGGACACTGCAGTCAAGTGGCCACTGCCCTGTGACCCGCCCGCAGGGTCCTCGTTCAGTTTCCGCAGGCTCTGCACCTTTTGTCCTTGATTCGCTTGTTCTGGAAGGCTTCTGAGTTGTCTGCCTCTCCCTGCCAGATATGCAACAGCAGCCATTCCTGCTAACCGCCAACCCAACCCTTCCACTTCAGGACAGAAGCCGCCACTGTCCCTTGCAGGAGGCTTGGCTTGACCTGGCTATTGGACACAGGGCTTTGCCTCCTGCAGTCTCTCCCAGCCTGCACTTTTCCCAAGCCTTCCCCAGACCCCCACCCTCACCCCGCCTCTTGAGGGGTGGGGTGCCCTCCCAGAGAGAGTCTACAGGAGTGGCTGGATGAATACTTTGAGGCAGCCAGCTATGCCTCAAGCTTTTCGGGGTTGCCCCCACGATGGTCATTTCTTGCATCTGCACTGGAGGGTAGTGAGTTATGTGGGAGAAATGCTCACGGCCAGGAAAAATGAAGTCCACAGACACACGGCAGGATTTTCCACGCCTTAGTGTGCTTATCTCTCTTGTAACCACAGAGAACCCCCATGGAGATCGGCTGTGCGCCCTGCCCTCTCCTGACAGTAATCCTGCAGGAGACAGGGCAGGACTGGCCTCATCACCCCAGTTTTCCAAGTAAGGAGCTGAGGCAGAGTGGTCATTTATCCAAGGTGAAAAGGCTAGGGTTCAAACTCAGGCAGTCTGGTTCTAGAATCCACGCGTTATCCCCGTGTCCTTCCCTTCGCTCTTGTTAAGTCACTACCATGGGCAATTAGAACTCTTCCATAAGTACATACCAGTTAAAAATGCCTTTCTCACAGAGGAAAACTAATTTTGTTTGAGACAAGGTCTTACCATAAAGCCTAATTTCTCAAGCTCTCATTCCTGCTTCAGCTTCCTAAGTGCTGGGCTAACAGGTGTGTGTCACCTTCCTGCCTTGGAAAAAAATATCAGTGAAGCAGAAAGAAAAGAGAAATCCTATAATGCAAACTGGGACAATTAACAAGTGTCCGCCTGCATGTCCCTCCTTTGTGCTTCTGGTATTTGAGAAAGGAGTCAAGGAGTAAGGCAGAGCCTAGCAGATTTGATTGTCACTGAAGGCTGGCGCTCCTCCGGCTCCTCCGAAAGGGACAGCTGAGATTGGAGTTTACTGGATAAAAGGCGGCCCCTTGGCTGTTACAGGACTACTGACGAGGTTTAGCAAATATCCCAAGTTCAAGTGTCTTGATAGTCGGGAAAGCTTTCTCTGAACATGGATGTTTGCAAGAGATTCTTTTAGCATACGTTAATTGTACATAATAATCATAATAATGAGTTTCATTATGAGCTTTTTATACATGTGTATAATATATTTTGATCACATTTGCTTGCCCCATATCTCTCTAGTTCCCTGACACTGCATTCACTCTCTTTTGCCAAATAGTCAGCTGCCTGCCTGCCTGCATTCCCTCCCTCCCTCCCTCCCTCCTTCCTTCCTTCCTTCCTTCCTTCCTCCCTGCCTCCCTTTCTGCCTGCCTTCCTGCTTTCCTGCCTTCCTTCCTTCTTTTCTTTCTTTCCTTCTAACAAGATCTCATGTAATCCAGACTAGCCTCAAATGTTCTATGTAACTCAGGCTATCTTTGACTCCGATCCTCCTGCCTCTACCTCCCAACTGCTGGAACTATAGGCACACCTAGTCCCCTTCTACTTTCAGATGTATTTAATTACTAATTATTAATTGCATTAATTAATTACTATAGCAATTGTTAAATTAATACACTAATAGCTATAATTTCAATATAATTGCCGTATTGATATAATTAATAATTTATTAAAATTAATTATTCATTATTAATTGTATTGTATTGTATGAGTATTCTGTCTGAATGCATGTCTGTGCGCCATGTCCCTGGCTGGTACCTACAGATGTCAGAAGAGGGTATTAGATCTTCTGAAACTGGAGTTAAGGATGTTTGTGAGACACGTGGGCTAGGGACAGAACGCTGGTCCTATGTGAGCTCTTAACTGCTGAGCCAATGCTCCAGCTCCATCTTTTCAAAAATTTATTTAGAATCTGCTCAGTTCTAATTGCATTACTTATGACTGAATAAAAACTCCATTGTGTAAATATACGCACCCCTTTTTGAGACAGTGTCTCCCTATGCTGCTATACCTAGTCTGGAACATGTAGCTCAGGCTGGCCTCAAACTCAGAGACCTGTCTTCTCTTGTCTCTTGGGGGGTGGGATTTAAGGCATGCACCACCACACTCAGCTCCGTCTTCTTTTATCTTTTAGATTCTTATTTATTTATTTATTTATTTATTTATTTATTTATTTGTGTACACTACATGTGTACAGGTGTCCACAGCGGCCGGAAGAGGGTATTAGATCCCCTGAAACTGGAGTTATGGGCAGTTTGAGAGCCTCCTGATATATAGGTACTAGGAACCAAACTTGGGTCCTCTGAAAAACCAGGAAGTGCTCTTAACTGTTCAAGAAATCTCTTTAGCCCCATACCCTAATTTCTTTATCCATTTACCTGTTGATGGACACCTATCCCACGACTCAGCTATGGTGGACGGTGCTGTGGTAACCGTGGCTATGCAGGAGGTGTCTCCATTGCGTGCCATCGGTGTTTCCTTAGGATATGTACTTAGGAATGGCACTGCGGGCACGTCGGGTCTGTTCTTACGGACAGCCCCAGTGTTTTCCACGGTGGCTGCAGTATTTATATTCCCATCAACAGTGTAGAGGGCTCTCTCCCCACACACGTCCTCCCTGGCGTTTGTTGTTTGCATTCTCCATGGCAGCCTTTCCACTGAGAGTGAGGGGAATTCTCAGTGGTTATCAAGATTTTGATATGTTGTTTTTTCTCAATGCCTTCCCATGCTAACATTTAAAATTTGTATGCCTCTCTTGAACATGACATGAGTAGAGAAACATGAGGATTCACGAGCCATTTGGGTTTGGTGTAGCATGGAGGGAACACAGGAGCCAGTTCAAGGGAGTGTGGGTAGTGAGGGTTGGAACAGTTGCTGACTGGTAGATAACCTTGGGAAGCTGTCCTCTAGTGCCAGGTACCTGCTAATGGGTGAGGGAGAAACACTACTTCTGCCCCTGAGGCTCCCGCTTTCCAATGGGGGTAACTATGTGCAGACAATTAGCAAAAATTAATTGTAGCAGATAAGGGAAACTCATGGTTGTGAACCCTATGATTGCTTATCCAGAGGTGGCTAGGGGAGGGTCAATGCTAAAACCCTGATGCTTAGTCTTACTATCTGTTACCTCCCCTCTCTCTCTCTCTCTCTGTGTGTGTGTGTGTGTGTGTGTGAGCATAAGGAAAAATAACTGGAGACACTAGCACATCCAGCTGTTCATCCAGCTGTAGAAGCCTGATCATTTTATAGACTTTGAAGTAGTGGTCCAGGCTACTGGCCCAGGAAAAGGATGGGGAGGCGATTAGAGATCAGTTCAGGCAACAGAACCTACTTTGGCCATTGTAGCGGAGAGTGGTCCATTACCAGGTGCGGAGTGACTTTCAGCTTGGAGGAGCCAGCTCACTGTCTCTAGGGCTAATGCCCACCCTCAGAACCTCGTTGCCTTTGCCATGATTGTGGAGGGCATCCCAACCACAGCTCCTCCTTCCCTCTACTAAGACCCACATCAATATGACGCAGGTCTGTTTCTCAGCCATCATCCTTTTGACTCAGCTCTGAATTTAAGTTTCTTTCAGTACCTCTGGTGAACTCCCATCAACCAAAAACACAAGCTGGGGGTTAGGGATGTGGCTGAGTGGTAGAGGACTTGCCTAGTATATGTGAGGCCCTGGATTCCACCCCTGGCTTAGAACCCAAGCTGGAAAACCAATCTATGCCTTTCCTGCCTGAAGCACGGGAGGGGACACACAGTTCGAACCAGTCATGGCGTCTTTTTCAGGTCATGAAGATACTGAGATTCCCTTGAACACCCTGAGGCCTGGACTGTGGTTTTACCCCACTCCTGATAGTGTTTGCCTTTTAGGCCAGATGGTCTCAGTCCCTGCCTAGACATGCTTCACTTTGGGCTGATGTTTTCAATACAGCTTGAATTTCACCTTGTAGTGAAAATGTGGCAGCCTGGAGTCAGGTCCTTGAGGACCAGGAAGGATCTGGCTGTGGAAAGCTCTCATTGTCTCTCTCTCTCTCTCTTCTCCTGGGGTCGGGTCCATGAGGACCGGGAAGGATCTGGCTGTGAAAGGCTCTCTCTCTCTCTCTCTCTCTCTCTCTCTCTCTCTCTCTCTCTCTTCTCCTGGGGTCGGGTCCATGAGGACTGGGAAGGATCTGGCTGTGGAAGGCTCTCACTGTTTCTCTTCTCTCCGTAGAGATCCCACAGTGTGCTGGCTGCAACCAGCACATCCTGGATAAGTTCATCCTGAAGGTCCTGGACAGACACTGGCACAGCTCCTGTCTCAAGTGTGCAGACTGCCAGATGCAGCTGGCCGACAGGTGCTTCTCCAGGGCCGGGAGCGTCTACTGCAAGGAGGACTTCTTCAAGTGAGTCACGGCCTACCTACCGCTCCTCAGCTCCTCTCTTGGCTGCCCTGTCTTCCCTCAGGCAGTGGGAGATTGGGAGATTGCAGGGTCTCGGTCCCTGAGAAGTTGGAGGAATCCTGTTGAAGCCCTTTGTTGAGGGCCCCTCTCAGCCCCATTGGCTATCTGGCTTCTCTGGGGATCCTCAGACTGGGGGTGTAGCAGAGGGCATGGGTCAGGTTTTGCATGAGGAACTGTGCTTTCTGTCTTAGTGAGTTGGGGCTCAGGGTTTGCCGGGGGACTCTCAATAGTAGGTGCTTTTAGTTGGTTCCCTACACCTGGAGGAGCTTTCCTGGGTGTTTCCTTGGCTGCTTTCAGGCCTCAGAGGCAAGGGAAGGTTGCTCTAAGGGATTCAAGCCATGCTCCATGGGTCTTGTTATTTGGGACGGAAATATATGAGGAGGTGGGCTCACATGATAGTCAAGAGCCCAGTCCTGTCCGGGTTTGAAACTGCTTACTGGTTGTGTTCTTTTAGTCAGTTAACTTTTACGTGCCCTGATGTGCTTATCCTTAAAATGAGGCTATAAATAGAACTCTCGTTACATATTGGCTTTAAGTAGGACAATATGTGTAAAGTTCTTGGGAAGAAAGGTCACCCGACACTCTCAAAGCTCTTCTGGACTTTTCATTCTGGGACTGAATTCATCAGGAAAATCCCGCTGGACCTTTGGGTCAGGGAGAATATCCCAGAATTTATTTTCTGAACTGCTCAATTCCTTCCTAGGACCAATTCATGACCTAAGGCTGATGGTTTAGTCAGCATGGACTACCCAACCAAAGGAAAACCATGTGTGTGGGGATAGTGACATGTTAGTGACACTGAGCCTTGTCCTCACTCACACGAGCCTTGAGAGTCCTTGAGAACAGAGAAGGGAGGCTCACCCAGTCCTGGGGGAGCATTTGGGACCCATGACCAGCCACCAGCCACCAGTCATGGAGGGGCAGTGCACAGCCCCCTGATCGTGTGTGTTCTGGGCACAAGGAGGAGAAATACTGGGAAATTCTGAGTTTCTCTAGTTCCTTCAATGAAACATTACCTACCCTATCTCTTCCTTCCTTTTTTTGGTGGGGGGGGGTTACTGCTCCTCTTTTTTCCCATCTTCCTTTGGTTTTCTCCACCTCTGGCTCCTCTGCTACTACCCCTTCCTCTCACACTGTTGCTCAGTGGGTGACAAAGTCTGTCTCTGTCTTGCTGCCTCAATGATGGCTTGGCCAGGCAATATGGCAGCCCTCATGGGGTGGGTTGCTTTGGTAGTGTGTGTGTGTGTGTGTGTGTGTGTAAGGAGGGCCAGAGGAGGATGGGGGAGAGGTGGCCTTTGTCTGTAATGAGGGCAACACCCTCCAGTTTGTCCCTGTACTTTGGGACAGTCTCCGAGAACTCCAGAGGTGAGGCAAAGTCTAAATTACCTTCTCAGACACGGAAAGAGAGGTAGGCCAGGCACTGAGAGACCCCTGGGTTAGACAGGGACTCTGACTGCCCTAGCCTGGCAGGTTAGGGTAGCAGGCGTGGTATAGGCAGAGGCTACCAGAGCCATGGACTGGGGGGGGGGGGTCCCCATCAGAAGTTTCCCTTAGCCCTTCAGTCCAGGACCCCAGCAGCCCCCACCTCCATGGCCTCCCCACACCTTGGTTCTCAGCCTTGTAGAAGTGACTGCTAACTGGCCCTCGCCTGCTTCCTGAAGTCCACAAGCTTCTCTAGATCAGCTGCCTTGCCCCACAGCTCAGGCCCTGATCCCAGATCACTCCTTCTCTAGAGTCCCTTCACCTGCAGAACTGCCTGGTGGCACTTTGGCACAGGCCTTCCTTCCAGTCCTCATTCACTGCTTCCTTGTGGTCCCCTTCCTGCTAGACTCTTTAAGGGTGACCCACCCCTCCACGGAAACTCAGGGAACAGCTCCTGGTAGCGGGAGTCCTGGGGAGGCATCATACCCTCTCCCTTCCCCTTCTCTCACAGGGCTGACTCAGACAAGCTCCTTCCTCTTGAGCCTGTCTTATCTTCCTCGTTGGCTGGGGACCTGTGTTATTCTTCCACAGAAACACCCAGCCCTTGCCCAAAGACTGTTGCTGGGTTGGAGAAACAAGTAGTAAATTCCACAATGGATTTACAAGGGCTTTGGTAAACAGTTTTTTTTTCCCCCATATTTTGCTTGGTGTCTTGGGAAACACAGCCATAATTATTCCCTTTGTTCTGCACGCCTGCCGAGCTGGGTCAGGGTTGGTGGAGGGGGAGCTGGCCACAGGTTCAGTGCTGAAGCAGGCCATTCGCTCTGTGAGGGGTGCTGTGTGCAGGGAGTGGAAGGCCAAGGCCATTAACCAGAGGGGAAGATTGGCAGCTTCCAAGTGTCCAGTGAGGAGACTTGATTTATGAGCCTTGCCCAATTCTGGGACTGAGGCTTTCTGGGCACAAACTGATGCTGTAGATCCTATCCCAGGGAAGGACCGGGAGGGAGCAGGCAGGCTGTTAGTCAGAACTTTACTCCCTATCCGAAGTACTTTAGAGTCGGCTGCCTGTTTGGGGCTCAGGGACAACCTTCTCCTTATTACAGCTCATCAAATGTCACCTGCTTCCATGCAAGTAAGTGCTGCCAAGACAAACTTAGGGGTGTGGCAGGAACACTCCCTCTTGTCACACTTGGCTGTCAGGAATCACACCTCTGGGGACTCTGCAAATGGAATCACAGTGAGCACTTGGCCGGTTGGGCTGCAGTGTGCTCTCCACTGTGGAGTCTGGAAGACACTGGTCAGAGCCAGGGAAAATCCTTTCTCTGTGCTCTTTGAAGGAACAGAGGAAGTACACTGTAGTCTTCTCTGGCAGCTGCTGCATAACCCTGCCCTGAGACAGGGATAGATAGGGCTCACCTGCTCTGCTGACCCTCACTGTGGTTCTGAGTTCCTGGGATAATCTGTTTGCCCACAGTGTGGGGCAAGGCAACTACTTTATTGCTGTGCACAGCCGCACTTGAGTTTGATGTGAAGTTTGCAAGTCAAGAGTGTGGTGTGCCCTTGGAATGTGTACTCTCTCAGCAGCAAAGAGTGGGAACTGAGAGCCACATGGGCAGGACCTGGCTATCCTTCCACCAGGGAGCGATGTAAGACTGGTCACAGGCAGCAGGAGGCGATGTTGTAAACCCAACACTTTTCTTATGGAGTAGTTGACTTCTGACCTGCCTAGTAACAGCTGAGGTTTTTTCTTTTGTTTTTGTTTTTGTTTTCTGGGTCTTTAGCTTCTCTTCTTCAAAGGAGATAAAAATCTTCAAGCCCAAGGGGAGAGGTAGTAATACATAGGAATGAGGAGGTGTAATTTACTGAGTTGGTTGGGGGCTTAGGAGGGCCACCCTCCATGCAGAAGGCATCCTGAATCCTGTTGCGCTGCATTTGTTAAGCAGGTTCTTCCCAGAGCATGTGTTCAACCGGTCTCCTTGTATTAGGGCCAGGGACTGAGGAAAGCAGGGGTTTGGGAGCCTTTCTGAGCCCAGTCTGGGAGCCATGGGAGTTCCCCAACTGAAGCACAATGCATCCAAGGTGAATTCCCTGCTTTGGGAGCGGGGTTCCTGATCTGGTGCCATCAAACAGATCCCTTAGCATCCCCGGGCTTTGTTGCTTTCTTAGGAAATGGCAGAATTCTGATGTCACTTGCTATAGAAGATCTACAGTGCATTGGGTCATTTTGCAAAACGGAGTTGTAGAAGCAGTTTGGTGACCCCAGATGGCGTTTGGTGGTATCTGTCCTATCTTTTACTAGCGACTTGTCAGCAAAAGAGCAAGCACCCAGCCTTTCTCTGGGTCAGAGCGCACACTGGCCTCTCAAGTGGGGAGAAGGTAGTGGGTAACCAAGTCCACAAGACACTAGGGCTTTTGTGACTGTTTCTGGGTACCTGGCCCTGATGTGGAGGGTATGGCTGTTAGAGCCCCCTCTGTCAGGGCCAGGGCTGCTCCCACCTCTTCTATTCTCCCTCCTTCAGCTTTGAGGGTATCTGGTAGAGGTGACCTGTAACTGTCTAGAGTGGTCCATGTCCGGGTAGGGTGGCAGAGTGGGGAGGGTGTTAGCAGCATGTCAGGGGCTAAGCCACAGAGAAACTGGTCTGTTGATGGATGTGGTTTGAGAGAGCAAGAGTGGCTGTGGAGTGGACAGCTGTGAGGTTCATACAGTGTCCAGGAAAACAAAGGGAAGACTTCAAGGTCGTCATGGGATGTGGGGAGCTTCAGGCTACCCTGGTCCACCAGGGGTCTGTCGGGGGCTGTGGGTGATAGACTCAGGCTTTCTAGGGTGCTGTGACGCTAGAAGACTCCTATCTGAAAGATAGTGCTTTGGGGGGATACCTACCTGATCCTGAGGCCTTCACCCTGATAGGTAGCTAAGGGGTTCTCCCAAGGAGTGAAGGACACTGTTCCAGGGAGCTAGGTGGGTGAGCATTCCCTTTGCCTTGCCAGTCCCTCCCCCAGCCAGTCAATCTCCAGGTGGCTGTCAGCCAAGGGCAGGTAGGCAGCGTCCTTGGGGCTGTGTGATTTATCCCTGCGGTCCAGGACGCTGTGTTGCAGCATGCTGACAGTTTGGCTGTCACGGTGATTTTGCTGGCTGTGCACAGGTCTTCGCCGGTGTCCTCCACTTAGTCCCTCAGTGACCAGAGCCTCTCTGTTCCTTATCTGATTTGAAAGCAGAAGCCCAGAGAATACAGGTTTGTCTTTAAGAAACGAGGTTGCCCTCTCCTTGGTGGACTTCGTAGAAGAGGTAGGAGTTAGGCTTTAAGCCAGGATCAGTGTGAACTTGAAACATCAGACTTCATTGGGCCTTGCTTTACCATCTCTAAAGCGGGAATAAGAACATCAATCAGACCTTCAGAGTCACTGTTAGGGCTGAGGAAGATGAAGCAAGCTCTAGCTAGTTCACATTACGAGCCGTTCTCATCAGGGCAGTGATGTCCATGCAGGGGTAGGAAAGGAAGAGAAAGGCTTGTTCTAGGGTC